GACAGCTTCAGAGTAAAGTCAGCTTACCAGAGGAACCAAGCATATGATTAGAGGGCTGGAACTATCAGCCTCATCCTCTGACCTCTGGGAAGAGGGGAGTTGGAGATTGAGTCCAATCGCCAGTGGCCCCTGATTTAATCAGTCATGCCAGTGTAATGGAACCTCCATAAAAACTCTAAACAATGTGATTCAGAGAGCTTCCAGGTTGGTGAACACATCCACGTGCCAGGAAGGCAAATGCCCAGAGAGAACATGGAAGTATCGTGCCTCCTCCCACATACCTTGCCTTATGCATCTCTTCTATTTGGCTGCTCCTAGGGTTGTATTCTCCATAATAAACTTACTAGAGTAAGCAAAGTATTTCACTGAGTTATGAGAAGCACTATAGCAAATTTTTGAACCTGAGGAGGGCATTTTGGGATCCCCCAATTTATAGCTGGTCAGTCAGAAATACAGGAGACCTGAGACTTGTGATTGGCATCTGAAAAGGGGGTCAGTTTTATGGGGCTGATCCCTTAACTTGTAGGGCTTGTACTAATTCCAGGTAGGTAGTATCAGAATTGAGTTAAATGCTAAGATCCCTAGTTGGTGTCTGCAGAGAGCTGAAGAAGTACTCAGTTTAGAAAACCTACACGTTTCGGTGTCAGAAGTGTTAAGAGCATTGAAAAGTAGTTTTTCTTTTGGTATTCCTACCAATTTGTGCAGAAATTGAGGTCCTGATGGATTCTTAATACCTGAGTAGCATCTTCAACTGTGTTTGTGTCAGTGTATCCTGGGTTTGGAGTTTACTCAAATAAATCTGGCTCCTAAGCAAATTAATGCAGGAACAGAAAACCAAATACCACATGTTCTCACTTATAAATGGAAGCCAAACTTTGAGTACATGTGGACACAAAGAAGCGAACAACAGACCTACTGAGGATTCTCACTTATAAATGGAGGCTAAACTTTGAGTACACTTGGACACAAAGAAGAAACCTACTTGAGGGTGGAGGTTAGGAGGAGGGAGAGGACCAGAAAACTATCAGGTATGATGCCCATTAGCTGGGTAATTAAATAATCTGTACACCAAACCCCACGACACACAATTTACTCACATAATAAATATGTACTTGTACCCCAAACCTAAAATAAAGGTTGGAAAGAAAAATAAATAAACAAACTGGAAATAGATAAATAAATCTGGCAAAGTTTTATAGTGTTTGTGGTAGGTGAAAAGATACTTGCACCCAGCAGCATCTGCCTGAATTTTCTCTCTAAGTTGCAAAGGCCCAATATTTAACACAGGTCACATTTTAGGATTAGAATTTTAATCCACTTTCAAGTTTATTCCTCAAAAAATAAAAATAAAAGATCCAGAAAAGAGCTAAGAGTAAGAAGCAACCTACCTTTGTATCTTTTGCTAAGGTTCATGTATTTTGATAGTTAAAAGCAAAAGCAAATGGGCTTGGTAACTGGTGGGAGGAGTGGCCAGGGAAGGTGCTCACAAAGTATGAATTGGTTAGCAAAGTCAGTTTAAAATGGGCAACCCAGAGAGAATATAAGTATAACAACATGTGGATTGCTGCCTTTCTATCTCAACATTATTATAACAAACATTTAATTGGTACTTTTCTTCTTACAAAAATATCATACATACATTACTGACACCTAATATCTAACAATTCTTCAGCACTTACAATGTACCAAGCACTGTTTTAGGTGCTTACACTCATTTGCTCATTTAATCATTACTGACCCTCAGGGCTGTATTCCAGTGCCTCCCTAGCCTGCTATTTAAAACTATTCCTCACCTACCCGCTTGCTCTCCTCCGTAGCACTTACCACTCTCTGACACACTATGTGTTTACTTCATTACCTGTCTGTGTCTCTCCACTAGAAAGTAAGCTCCTTGATGGTGAGAATTTGTTCTATACCCAGCACTTAGAATATGCCTGACACGTAATAAAACAAATGGCTGGTCCTCAGTAGATACTTGATTAATGATGGAAAGTACTATTACCCCCCCCCATTTTATAGGTGAGGAAACAGACTCTGAGTGGTTAAGCAGCTTGCTCAGATTACAGCTAGGAAGAGGCAGAACTGTGATCCAAACCCAGACATTCCTGCTGTAGAGACACCCACAACCACAACTGTAGGCAGCCCAGGTGCACGGCATTGAGTCAAGAGCATTGTGTGGTAGGCACAGACCAAGGTATTTAGCTTGTAGGAAGCAGAGGAAGGGCCTGAGAAGGAGACGGTAGGCACTGAAGATTAACGTCAGCTCTGTGACACTTGTGCTTTAGTCTGATCCTGGCTAACGGTGCTGATATCAGCCTCTAATGAATATAGTCACACAGAAACCAATAGATATTTGTGAAGTCTTTGTGTGTATAAAGCACCGGTGTAGGTGTTAAGAAAACTATCACAAAGTACAAAAAGAGACAGTTGGCATTCAAGGAGCTTATAATTGTGGGAAGCACTAGCATATGAAAAATTAAATAGCAAAGTCAGCAGTATTAAGGGTACTGTAAAGTGGCATGTGGTTAACAACCAAACCAGGGGCCCTGGGAACCAGTGCTTCACCCCTAAGGAGAGAGTAGTCAATGAAGCCTGGGTAGGCTGGGAAGTTTTGTGGGGTGTGGGGCGGTGGGGGGAGCAGAGCTTCCTTGGGATTGGCAGAGCCGGAGGGCTGAAGAGGTCTAGGGGAAGGTGAACTGGGAGGATGGGAAAGCAGGGAGGAAGAGAGCTCCTTGGCAAAAACTGCTGTGAGGCAAAGTACTGCAGAGGTGCTAGGCAGGGACGTTGGGGGAAAACAGAGCCAGTCAGCTGCAACCAGCCAAAGCCAGGATGGAGAATGTCGTATGTAGTTTGTGCATGGATGTCACCTTGAGCTGGGAAGCAACTCAGAGACTGATCAGGAGGAAGAATAGGAGTAAAATTGGAAATGCTGCCGGAGATGACATGGAAGACCACAGGGAAGGCCAGAAAACCAAATGGCTAAGGGCACGGGCTATAGAGCCCAGCCTGACTTCCAGTTCCACCTCTGCCACTTCTGAACTATATGAAAGGCCATGACACTCAATTTTAGAGACTCATTTCCTCATCTGTAAATGAGAGAGAAAGAAAAAATTGTCTCATGGCGTATCTGTGAGGTTAATGTAATGAGGTAATATGATAACATGTAAAATACTTAGCACAGTGCTCAGTAAATGGTAGCTTTTAAAAACCATGGAAGTGACCCACTGGAAATGCTGGGTTCGCAGCCCCGAGAACCAGAAAGCAATGTCAGACCATGGTGCCTGCTGCCCCTGTGCTACGGGCAACCCCCTGCAGCCCCTACTTTGATGCCTTCATACTTGCAAGTGCCTTCTCACATACAAGGCTAAATCAAACTCCTGCAGAAACAAGGCAGGAAGCTAAAAAGATAACATATAGCAGAAGCTGTTACCAGAACAGTGTTGGTTGAACAGGATGTAAGGGGACCAGGGAAACAGATGGCTGAGAAGCAGATATTGTGGAACCATCCAGGAAGGTATTGCCCTTCCAAGCTCAGAGCAGAGAAGCTAGTTCTATTATTATAACTTTTTGTTTGTTTGTTTTGTTAATGTACTGATTGCTTGCTTGTCCCTGAAGGCAGCCTGTCACCCAGGCTGGAGTACAGTGGCGTGATCTCAGCTCACTGCAACCTCCGCCTCTTGGGTTCAAGCGATTCTCCTGTCTCAGCCTCACAAGTAGCTGGGATTACAGGCGCCTGCCACCATGCCCAGCTAATTTTTGTATTTTTAGTTGATATGGGGCTTCCGTGTTTTGGCCAGGCTGGTCTCAAACTGAATCTCATGATCCGCCCGCCTTGGCCTCCCAAAATGCTGGGATTACAAGTGTGAGCCACCACGCCTGGCCCAGAGTTTTAATTTCTAAAGGTTTCTTTGAATTACTCACCAATGAAAGAAAAGCTAGAAATTGCAGCGTAATTTCAAAATATTGTTTGGGGTATATGGTCATGAGAAAACATAAAACTGTATTCTGTGAATTCCTGAAAAAAATTATCCTACAGTGATAGAATAAACTAGTCATAGGTGGGCTTCCAGTGCAGCTAATTTATATTATATGCCTACTGTGTGCCAGGTACAGCACTAGATTCTGGGTATACAATGGTGAACAAGACAACATAGTCCTCACTCTCTGGGAATTTTCTAATATAGTTTTCCAACTAGCAGTTGGCCTTTTGCATAGCCAGATGGTCTGCATATGCACCTCTTGTTCTTTGAGTAGTAATAATGTGTTGGTGAATGTTCCACTCCCATTCTTCCCCAGCATTCTTTGTATGCAGAGTGTACTATACACATGGCTGAGGCATAGGGAAGGTGTAAATCAGATCCTGTAAACCCAGCACGCATGGCAGCACTCTTCTAACCTCCTCATCAGTGTAGACAAGTGTGGTTGCTACCTAATAAACCACTGTAAAATGACATTAGAACTCCTCATTATATTTTTTTGGCTCAAACATGTTCTCCTATGTCTGTTGGTGTCTAGTACATCTCTGTACAAATGTATATGGCCCTTTCCCATGTTGTGTTTCATTTTCCCTTCAGAAGAAGCCTGTGTGGCAGAATGAATCAGGCAATGGTATCTCACACATGAATGAAAAGTGGCTTCCCTCCCCATTCTCCTGGGGAGGGCTGCTTCACCACTTTGTGAAGCCCACTCCTCACAGCCTAATCTGCAGCTCCAGCTTTACCAAGGGAGGTTCATTTTATATTCAGCATTTACTGATCACCTGCTACGTATGAGACTCTTTCCTCTGAACGTCCTCCCAATTCCATTTGTTGAGTTATCAATTCCCAGGAATCCCAAGATCCCCAAATATGAAGACCCCACAGAGAAAGACTCAAGTTCACTACTGCAGACACTTCTGTTCTGAGGAGCAAATTTGAGTAAGAAAAGAAACAACTAATTATGTTTATGCTGAGAAATGTTTCTCTTCTTTCTCTCCCCCTTGATCTACTTATTTCTCATAGTTCCCCATCTCTGAGCTTCTCCCTGGGGCCTACAAAATGCATCTTGCTGGAGTCCTGGGAGAGCACTGAATAAATATAAAGCGATAATGAGAAGGCTCTGGGCCACCTGGGAGATGGTAAGTGCAGCCAAGAGGCCTGGTAGGACCTGAATGCCTGCCCAGGGATCTCAGGTGCGGTGTAATTGTTGCTCAGCTTGTTTCCTTTACCCAATAAACTGTAGCTCGGTGGGCAAGTTGTATATTGTGCTCTCCGTATACCCCTAATGCAGTGTCTGGTGCTCCATAAACAGTTATTAAAAAAAAGAAGGCAGGCAGGTAAGGAGGAAGAAATGTGTGTGGGTGCACCCAAGCTTCTGAGGTTGACAGAAACCTAAAGTCTGGGTAAGAGCGGAGTTTGCACTTTTTCTTTTACGACAGAATCCCTGGGTTAGTTGAGGTGAGAGCCCCGTGGATAACCTGTTTGACACCTGGTTAGTGGGAGTCAAGGGGAGCATGCACCTCCTCTGCTGGCTGCCATGCAGGAACTGTGTTCAGTCTCAGGGGCATCATCAGCCTGGGGGCAGCTGTGTGGCTGTAACCTCAGTGGATGCCAATGTAACAGCTGGTACACACACCAGTGGTGACCCCCAGACGGGCCCACAGGGCAGAAACACTAAAGGCCAGGCTTCGGTCTCCCTGGGTGCTGCCTGGAGTTCCTTCACAATAGCAACAAAGGAACCTGTTGTTCATGGAAGCCTTAGGCAAGGAAGCAGCTCTGCCATGGTGGCTGTGGAGCCCAAGCCCATTGGAGATTTTGCAGGTAGTGGACATGAGTCCTGAAGAGCAGCTTTGGCACTCCAGGGACCACTAGGCCTTGCCCACGCAGAAGTCATAGCAGCCAGCATAGACTTTAGCTTAGGAATACACTGCATGACCATCTCTGTGGGACCCCTTCACCCTCAACCATCCTATGAGGGAAGCAGGACAGGGATACTACATTCCACAGATGTGGAAATTGAGGTTCAATAAGGCTAAATTTTGTGCCTAAGGTCACACAACCAGTAGAGTGTCAGGGTTTGTACTCAGGGCATCTGGTCCCTGTCGATCACATCAGCAGAGGCATAGCAGCTGCAATGTTGAGAATAACCAGCAGAGGACAGCCTCCACAAAGAGGCCCATTTAACTGCCTTTGCAGAGATACAAGCTAACTTAGCAGTATTGGGGCATATGTCGCCATGCGCTCGCTCCCTGACAATATACACTGAAAAGGATGCAACATCAATTCTATGATTTTCCTGTCATAAAAAGCCTACCTAAACATAATCCTGAAATGCCAGATAAACTCAAAATCAGGGGCAGTCTACTAAGCAACTGGCTGGTACCCTTCAAAATTGCCAAGGTCCAAAAAGTCAAAGGCAGAACTGTTCCAGGGTAAAGGAGGGCCATGACAACTAAATGCAACTTAATGCAATAAATGTTTGATCTTTGGTTGGATCCTCGGCTGAGAAAAAAGCAATAAAAAATGTAAAGAAATGTAAAGGACATTATTGGGATAAATGATGTAATCTGAATTTGGACTGTGGTTTAGATAATAGTATTGTGTCAATGTTAAGTATCTTAAAGTTGTAATCATAATATGTTTACATAAGAGAATGTCTTTGATCTCAGAAATATTAAGGGGTAAGAGGGTATAATGTCTCCAACTAGCTTTAAAATAGTTAAGAAAGAACACAGAGAGATAGTGATAAGGCCACAAAGAAATGGAGCAAAATATAAGCAATAGGTGAATCTGGGCGCAGGGCACGTGGGAGTCCCTTAATACTGTATTTATAAGTTTTCTGTAACTTTTAAATTATATCCACATTAAAAGCGAATGAGAGAGAGAGAAAGAGAAAAACTGTCCTAGGTTCTCCAAAGCTTTGGCCTTGTGGTAGCCACACCCAATTTGAGGCAGTGAAAGCTTTCTCAGTCTGGGGTGGGTGGTAGGTGGTGAGGAGAGGCCTCTTTTTAGTCAAGTGTGGCTTCAGCCCGCTGTGGACCCTTGACCTTTGCACTGGACTGGTCAGAGTAACTTCACACAGAGCTTACCTGATAATAGATTTACCTGACCTAGGAGACGGGCCTTTGCTCAAACATTTTGAGGGAGTGAATATAATTAACACCTAATTCACGCCTATAGGTGGAGGAGGAACAGTGGACTTAGCTGAATGCTGAATGGAGCTCTAGGTGCTGGGGACACAGGGAGCATTCCAGGGTCTGTGAAATACAGTGGAGACTCATCTGGAGGAGGGGTGCAGGGTGGAACCACCACCTACAGCTTTGCTGGGGCAAACCTTCCAAAAGGTAAGACTGCTGGAATCTAAAGAATTAAAGACTGCTATGAGAGCAGCCATGAAAAAGGACATTGAGTAGAAAAAGCTGATGGGAATGATGTGTTAGAAACACTTGGAGGATTATCAGAATTCTGATTCGTTTAGGCCTGAGACGGGGTGGAGAATTTATATTTCTAAAAAATTGCCTGGTACTGTTGGTCTGGACCACACTATGAGTTGCAGTGGTGTCACAGATGATTGTGTCCAGCCCACCCTGGAGTAGTAATGCCTGTGAGGAACATGTGAGAGTCACAATCAAAGAGGTCCAGGGTTGACCATGGGGTACCTCTAGCTGGGCAGTAGGGATTAGGGACAGACAGCCTCATGAATGAAATGCCACTTAAACTGGGTTTCAGAGGAGATGGAGTAGAGGAGGGCCTTCTAGGGAAGCAAAGACCCAGAAAACAGTCCAATCCAGTATATCATTTGGGTTCCCTGGGGAAATGATGCGCAGAAAGGCAGTTGAGGGGCCTGAGTGCTAGGTCAGGAGTTTGGACCATATTTGGCAGGTGATGCAGAGGCTATGGTGGAGACATGATCAGAGGCAGGGCTTTCAAAAGATTGACCTGGTAGAAATATGAAGGACAGATAGGAGAGGGGGAGACTGGAGGTGGCAAAACTAGACAAGAGGTCCCAGCAGTGGGCTTCCTGGGAGGGAAGGGCCTGGAGAAAGGGGATGACAAGTGTGCATAGAAAATAAGGGAGTTTAAGCATTCTAGCAGAGTGGGAAGTAGAGTTACACAAAGAATCCATTTGTTCCATTAGACTTTTGGCCCTGAGTTACCACCAAAATTGATATGAAGCATTCAAGTCTTCAAAGATGTTTAAAAAAAAAATCAGTCCATTAAATATATTTATAGACATTTATTACTGAAAATTAAGTGTGAGCTTTCATATGAACATCTTCAAAAGTCTCCTAGGCAGCAAGTGGGCAGTTGGAGATAATGATATGCTGGGAAACACTCACCAGCTGGCTGGGAGTCAGGAGAGCCCTGATTTGTAGCGAATGTCAATTTCCAAGCTATAAAATTCTCCCATAATGGCCGATTTCAAGCTAACAACATGATGTCAACTAGCTTGTAAAATTCCAAAAATGTAACAGTTGGCTCTTGGGAGCCAGTACGAGCTGTTTCTAGCACACTCCAGAATATAGAACAAATGACAGGAAGTAGTTGGAGCCACTGTATAAGTAGTGTATAAATTTCTTTTCAGCATTGGTTTCCGAACCCAGAGAGCCAGGATTACCTGTGGAAGCAGCTCACAGGCTGGATGACTTTTGGCTCCAAGCACTGAAGCATCAGTTAACAACAGTTCTTCCCAAAGAAAGGAAAATGGCAGGTAGGTTGGATTTGTTCTAGAGCCCCAAAGCCAGGAGGATTATTTTACATAATAGAGAAGCATCAAGGAAAAGGAAGGGTCTTAAACTAAGGGGAAAGAGACCTGATGTTTGCACATATCTCTGTCTCTGATACTTAGCAGCTGTGTGCTTAACTGCTTTGAGCCTCATTCTCTATCTTTAAAAGCAAGGACAATACTAATAGTATACACAGCTCCATGCAAAGCCCAGAAGGCATTCCATACCAGTCAGACTTCTTCAAACTCACTCTTTCTTCCCTGCTACAGCATTCACCCCTCTCCACTTAGGTTTATGCTGGCCCAGACCCTGTATCTGCCCCATAGAAGAGAACCCATCCTCACGTCTGAGGGATGTCCCACGCCTTCAGGGTAGATCTGGAAGCCACATTGGCCAGTCTTCTTCAGAGAAGAAGGCAAAGGGAGAGAAGCTGACTGTCTCCCTGTCAGCTTTCACAACTGTGCTTTGGTCCCTCACAAGCTGTACTTCCTGCCTTTGGATTCTAGTCTATCTTTTTTCTGATAATTTTTTCTTTTGGCTTAAAATTGGGATTCTGTTACCTGTAACCCAAAGAGCCTGAGACACCCTAATTATCTCCCTTCAAAAGTTCTAGTAGAGACAAAAGACACTGACCTAGGAATCAGTTTTGGGTTTTGACCTTGGACAAGTGACTTCACCTCTCTGGGTCTTGGTTTCTCATCTGTAAAATGAACCGATGAACCAAATGAATGTAAATGAATTTTAGCACCAGTGTACTACTCTGTTCTACATAGCTTTAGCCTAATGGGAGTATAATAGAGTTAAATGCCCACTCTATTCCATTAGTCAGAAATGAGTTGATTTGAATGACCAGAGAGCTTTGGACAGTATTCACACAGTGCTGAGTAACTCTCTAACCAGTCCTGTCTGGGCACAAGTGACAGCTTAGTTCGACTGGTGCCTGTACAGGGTCTTGGAACTTGTGCAGGATTGTGAAAGGCTGCTGACAGTGGGTCTTGGCATGGAGAAGGATGATGCCGCAGGGATGTGAGGTTTTCATGAACATTTTTGAAGCCATTAAATTGTCCTAGGTTTCCTGACCTGGCATCAGAGTATGCTGATGTGGGCCAGTTTCCTGTCTGAGACTTTGAGAGATGGATGGAAAGAGGAGAACATTTCATCAGTCATGACCACCTTTAGTATTGGCCATGGGAGATGCTTTCCCTGTATTCAGGGAAAACTTAAGGGCTAATTGTCAAAAGTTTTTTTTTTTTAAATTGTAACAATAAAAGAATAATTGCTATGGAAGATGCATATATTTATAAACTATAAAGAAGAAAGTGAAATAATCTGTTAAACAAAGACCCAGAGATAATTTCTAACAGGAATTTCATTTATATACCTCTAACTCTTTCCATGCCATCAGCTTTTACACAGTCTTATAAACTTCTTGTCTTAGAAATGTTTGGGAGAGTTAAAGACCTAATAAAGGTCTTTAATGATTTAAGTTCAAATAATACCAAAGACTTTATCATGAAAAACAGGAGTCAGCTGCCCCACCACACCACCCCTTAGCCTTGATATACCAAAGCAAATTTTAAGCATCTTTGTTTTGAGTTTCTTTGGTGGTTACCTCCAACAGAAGATGCTATTTATTAATTTAGCAACTTTAGTGTTTTCTATTGACTTTCTACAGCCATAGAGGAGTCAGCTACTTCTATCCCACTCCTGTCTCCTCACCCATCCTTCTAAATATAGTTAAATCACTATTCTCAGATCTTTCTCCATCTCTTCCTCAACTTCAAAGAACACAGTTAAACCCTCATTTCCTGTTCCATCAAATACAGACAGTATCTCATTACTCTTCACTTTGTTAAAGGAATACTTGGCACCAAACCCTTTCCTCCCACTTCTTTCTCTTCTACCTATCAACCTCTGTCAGCCTGTTGTATACTTTTACACTTTGTTTTGAAATCAATTTTGAGTTGGTTATGTTTGTCTAATGTTAATTCTACAAGTTGAAGACCAGAAAATAATATTTATCTTATTTTGGCTATGGAAATATAGTTCACAGCAGATAAAGTATTGAACTAGGATCAAATTTCTTTATGGAACCAGTGTCTCTACCCAATAGAGAATATTTCTGGAACAAATTATCTTATTTTCTTTTGTTTTTAATCCCATCAGTTTTCTTTATCTTATCCACAAATCATATTTTTCATGCTTCAATCAAGCTATTTTTTTTTTAATTGATTCTACTTCTGTTCTTTCCAGTTCCCCCCCAAAGACAAAACAAAACTAAAAAACTCTGTAGTTCTCTTTCTTTTGTTTCCTCTTGGTCTGTAACATGGTTGCCATACTGCAGTTTCTCTTCATTGCTCTCAGTGTTCAGAGGCATATTTTTTCAAGTCCTCAACAGCTTCCTCTTTCTTAATTTATACATTCATTTTGCTGGAGTATATTCTCAGGTAACTTTCTAGAAAATGCTGTACAGGAGGTAGAGTTCTGCTTTCATATCTGAAAATGCCTTTATTCAACTTTTCACTTAATTAATAAATTGGCTGGGTATAAAATTGTAAGTCAAACACTATCTTACTCAAAATGGAATCTGTTTTTTTCTGGAATCTGTTAGCATCTACTTTTTATTCTTGGTGTTCTGAAAGTTTTCAATGGTGTATCTATGTGTGGGTCTTTTTGATTCATTTGTTCTCGGCATTCATTGGGCCTGTTGGGGCTCTGGAAACAATACCCCCAAAATATGGCACTTTAACTTGCTGAACTAATGAAGCCGACTCAAGATCTCTCTCTGATCTTCCCTACCTCCCTTTCTCTCTGATCCTCTTTCTGAATGTACACAGAGGGACTCTCTCTGTAATTTTTTCTTGTCTCTCTCTCTTTTTTTTTGAGACAAAGTTTTGCTCTGTCACCCAGGCTGGAGTGCAGCAGTGCGATCTCAGCTCACTGCAACCTCTGCCTCCCCAAACCTCCCACCTCAGACCCCTACCCTCACCACAAGTAGCTGGGACTACAGGTCTGTACCACCACACCTGGCTAATTTTTGTAGAGACAGGGTTTTGCCATGTTGCCAAGGCTGACCTGGAACTCCTGGGGTCAAGCAGTCCTTCTGCCTCTGGCTTCCAAAGTGTTGAGATTAAAGGTGTGATCCACCGTGCTGGGCCTGGAATTTTCTTAGTTGACCCAGAAAACTTCTTTCCAAAAGAAGCGCAGTTGCCTTAAGACTCCTTCCCTAGGAATCTCACCAACTAACCAGGAAAGATTAATCACTGGGGAGAAGAGACAGGGAGCCATCACCACACCCACATAGACTATTAATTTATTCTTCTGAGAGTAGCAAGAAGAGATTACCTAGTTGACTTAATCTGCATAATAAGACAACTTTTGTTCACAGTGGAGTTCTACCTCTAGCCTTCTACCACCTCCCCTAGAGCTCAGAGAAACTTTTTCCCAGGCCATTGTTGTTTGTGCTCATTCATTTCCCCTGAAAATAATTTACTCCCACACCCATCATTCTCCATCTCCCCTTGCCCTATGAAGAAGGATATAAAACCCTCATTGGGTTATTGAGTAATCATTCTCATGGGATTTCCCTGTGCTTAGGCATGTTAAATAATTTTTCCCCCTCAACGATCCTTGTTTTGATGTTAAATAAATTTTGTATGTCTTTTTCTCCTATTAATCTGTCTATTTTTCAGTTCATTTTCAGTGAACCTTCAATGGATAGAGAGGAGGCTTTCCCCCACCCCTACAGGCCATATCAATCAAAGACACACATGTCCTTCTTCGTTTTAGAAAATTCTAGCCCGGCACAGTGGCTCATGCCTGTAATCCCAGCACTTTGGGAGACCGAGATGGGTGGATCACAAGGTCAGGAGTTTGAGACACGCCAACATGGTGAAACCCCGTCTCTACTAAAATTACAAAAATTAGCTGGGCATGGTGGCAGGCTCCTGTAGTCCTAGCTACTCAGGAAGCTGAGGCAGGAGAATCGCTTGAACCAGGGAGGCAGAGGTTGCAGTAAGCTGAGATCACGCCACTATACTGCAGCCTGGGTGACAGAGCAAGACTCTGTCTCAAAAAAAAAAGAAATTCTACAACTGTTTTTTTTCTTTTGAGATAAGGTCTCACCTTGTCACCCAGGCTAGAGTGCAGTGGCCTGATCTCAGCTCACTGTAGCCTTGATCTCCTGGGCTCAAGCAATCCTCCCACCTCAGCCCCTCGAGTAGCTAGGACTGCAGGTGTGCACTACCCGGCCAGCTAATTTTTGTAGAGACGGAGTTTTGCCATGTTGCCAAGGCTGTTCTTGAACTCCTGAGCTCAGATCTGCCCACCTTGGCCTCCCAAAGTGCTGGGATTACAGGTGTGAGCTGCCATGCACAGCCTTCTACTATCCTTTTAAAACTTCTGTTGAGGTTCAGAAAATGATAACCCAAAATATGATACTTTGACATGATGAGTGCTTTGAATTAAAGAAAATTGAAAGGCCTAAAAAATAAGCTGCAGAATCAAGATCTCTTTCTGACCTTCCTCCAGCCCCATCTTTCTGATCTTTCTGGAAGCACTGGGATGGGCTCTCTCTAGAAGTTCCTTTATCTTACTTAAAAAAAAAAAAAAAAAAAAAAAAAAAAAAGTCTGAAGGAAATGTAATGATCTTAAAACCCCCTCCTAGGAATCTCATCAAATAACCAGGGAAGATTAACCACTAAAAGTTGTTACCACACCTGGACAGAGTTTTCATCTGTTCTTCTGAGGGCAGTTCCCAGAGATTACCTAAGAAACTTTATCTGCATAAGACAACCTTTGTTCTTGCATAGTTTCACTCCTCGCCTTCCATGTTAGTCCCTTCCAGCTTTCAAAGACAATCATTTATAAAATAATGTCTGCCTCGCAGGTTCATATATCACTCCCTTATGAAGAGAATATTTAAGCCTTAACCATCTGTCTTCTCTTTGAGTCTCATATTTTGTGTATGGCTCCTATGTTTATGCACATTAAATGAATTTCTATGTATTTTTCTCATATTAATCTGTCCATGATTAGATCATTCCAGCAAACTTTCAGAGTTGGTAGAAGGCAAAGTTTTGCCTCTTCAACACTGTGTTTCCTTTCTTTTGTTTTAATGTTTTTCTCTTTTTGGAATTCCTGTCTTTTAGATCTCAAATCTTTATATCACCACTTTAGACCTTTTGTCTTTTTTTTTTTTTTTAAATCACATTTTACATTTCTTTTCAAATCTATACTTGGGAGATTTCTTTGACTTCATTATTTAACGTCATCATTATTTTGGCAACCATATTTTTAATTTCAAAAAGCTCTTTCTTGTTCTCTGATTGTTTCTTTTTCATAACATCCTCTTCTTGTTTTGTCACTGTGACATATTTTCCTTAGTTTTCTCTGAGATTTTTAGAAGTTATTGTTCATTTGTTCAATCCTTTTTTTTCCCCATGAATTATTTTTGTTTCCTCTAAAATTGTGTTTGTCTGTTGGTTTATTTTTCCTTTTTCCTATTGCAGACTTTCCTCTCACGTCTGTTTACTCTTGGCTTTTCATTTCTGTTTAAGACTGAGGCAATAAGGAGGCTAATAGAAAATCTTAAGAACATAGGGAGAGCTTCTCCACTGTCAGGGAATGTTGATAATAGGTCATTCTTTTTGTTGAGAGTCCTTAAAGGCAGGAATGCAGAGGGCTTCACTCTGGACTTCCAAATCCCATATTGGCTGCCCTAGTTCTCCACAGGCAGTCTATACAGTCTCTTCAGAGACACACTCTCAGTGTTTTACATAGAGGAGGTGATTGACACTTGTCTATACAAGCACAGGTGTCAACTGTTGCACGTATAGAACTTTAATGGGTTTCAGCCCCATTTTCCATTCCTGCTATCTAAGATCCTTTTAGTTTCCAGACTAAGATCACCTCTCACCTTCTGTGGAGAGACCTTGAGCTCTTAGCTGCAGCTCACTCCACCCTGCTGTATTAGCCAATATTCATGAAGCTATTTCTGTTTCCAAGAAATTTGTTGAAATCTCTGTCTGCTGAAAGCAGATTCCTATGTTCTTCTTTATTGTAGGCTTATGCCGTTTTAATTCCTGAGCTAGAAGATTCCTGAACTTAAATTGCCATATGGTACTCTATAATATGGTTGTATGTTAAATTATAACAAATGTATAAACAGTGTTATGATAAAGATCCTGGTAGCTAGATCGTTACACACATCTATGACTTTTTATTTAGAATAAATTGTGAGAAAAAAATTACTGCATTAAAATGGAAGCAGTTGTGTTTTAAAATGAATTAAACATGCATTTACCTTTAGGGTCCAGAAATCCCAGTCACAGGTATATACCAAGATAAATGAAACATAATACCACACAGACACTTATACACAAGTGTTCATAACAAGTTTATTCTATGCATGATGGCTGAAGACTGGAAACAACTCAAATGTTCATCAACTGATGAATGGACAAACAAATTGTTAAACAGTGGTTCCTCCTTATCCACAGTTTTACTTTCTGCAGTTTCAGTTGCCTGCAGTCAACTTTGGTCCAAAAATATTAAGTGGAAAATTCCAGAAATAAACAGTGTCCAAGTTTTAAATTGCATCCTGTTCTGAGTAGTATGATAAAATCTTATGCTGGCCAACTCTGTCCTGCCCAGGATGTGAATAATTTCTTTGTCCAGCGCATGCATACTACATACACTGCCTGTCTGTTAGTCACTTAATAGCCATCTTGGTTATCAGACTGGCCCTCACGGTCTCACAGTATTTGTGTTCAAGGAATCCCTATTTTACTTAATACTGCCCTGAAAGTGCAAGAGTAGTGATAATGGCATATTGTTATAATTGTTCTATTTTATTGTAGTTATTGTTGTTAATCTCTTACTGTGCCTAGTTTGTAAATTAAACTTTATCATAGGTATGTATAATACCTATCTCAGAAGAAGAAAAATTTGAATTTTAGAAGAGGTCCAAAATGGCTGTAGATTAGGCATATGAGTAATAGGCCTACGAATTAAAGCTGAACTGTCACCTGTGAGTCTGGAGTTTGCCAAAATTTAAAACAAAAGAATTTTAAATATATTTGAAATAGAGATGGGGTCCACTATGCTGTCCAGGCTGGTCTCAAACTCCTGGCCATAAGCCATCCTCCCGCCTCAGCCTCCCAAAGTGCTGGGATTACAGGCATGAGCTGCCATGCCCAGCCTTCAGATATTTCACTGACATGTACTTATGGCCACCTTGCCTATCATCAAATGCTAAGCACAGAGGCAGGATAGGATCAATCATCCCTCTCCAGAACCTAAGATGCCTGCATATGCATTAAAACTTTACCCTATACACATCAATAGCATATTATAAGAATGACATCTTTGCTTCACTGCTCCCTCTTTTCATTTCCTATGTTGCAAAACATATAAATACTCTGCCTCCTGTACCCATTTGGGGATGCCTTCTCGGTGTGCCCTGAGTTTGTGTTTCCAATCTATAGTCCTTAAACTTGGCTCACCGTAAAATTAACTTTGATTTTTTTAAAGTTCATGGTGCCTGTTATTTTAACCTTTTGCGTCCACAGATGGCATCTTTGGCAGGATTCTAACAGAATCCATAGACACTCTGGACTCATTCTCTGGGACTCAGCACTTAGTACCAGAATGAACCCGTTGTGTTTGGACTGACTCTGGAGGAACCACTGAGTATACAGGGTGAGTTGCCTGGAATCTGAACCTCTCTCTTTTTTTGGTAGAGGTCTATTTCACTTTATTCTGAGATATTTCCAGAATCACTAAAAGGAGTAGTAAATGCTGGGTTTACTAAATTCTTCCTGTGCTTGTTATTATTATTCTAAATTGCTAGGAAGGAAGAAAGGAAAATGTTAGGTCAACTAAGCATTGCTGCAGGTTAGGGTGGCAGTTTCTTTGATCAGCTGAGTGTTTTCAAAACTTTTTTGTCTGGTCCAACCCTTTACATTCTATATGTGAACAACTGAGACAAAATTGCTGTTAAGATATGGGCCACTTTCTTCCTCCAGCCTGAATATCAGGTATTCTTAGGTGGCTAAAAATCTTGTGGAGGTATTGCAGGAAATCCCTCATGACATGTAGTAGTCCCAAAGAGCTTCACTATCAACAGAAGAACACTTAAATTGCAATAGATCCTCCAGGGAATGCTCATAAAGGTTAGTCATCTCATGTTTGAAGCACCTCACTGCTTCAGCAGGTGCACATCTCCCAAGATGGAGAGGATTAACACCAGGGTAAGAGCCTGAGGAGTGAAGTTCATAAGCAGCACATTTTTGACCCTGAACACGATTAGTTTGTTGCAGACAAGGGAGAAGGGGGGAGTCTCTTTATGTGGACAATTGGAAGAAGCTGGCTCAAAAATTAAACAAAAAGAATGGGATAGTTATTTCCAGGGGTATTTAGAAACTTCTGAAAAAGGGAATGATAAAATTGCTTCCATTCAAGAGGTGAGCTGCAAGATCTTGGAAATTGTTTCTCTACTGCAAAAATTGTCTGAAGTTTCCACTGTCTCACCTCCTCCTCTGACCAGTCTTCTGATCCTCTAGAACCCTCTTATTCTTTGCTTTCAAAACTGCTGGCCACTCCCTCTTCCACCACCCACAGAAGTTTTGACACCATGTGTTAAAGAAAAGCCTAACCCACAGGGAAAACCTTCAGTGGCCTATACTTCCTGGACCAAGGCAGAACTTAGAGCTCTTACTAAGAAATTTCCAGATCCCACCTAGAATACTATTGGTTTTACTAAGGAGTTTAGTCTAGCTGTAAGAAATTATGAATCTTGGCCATTTAGCTCTGTGTCAGTTGGTTCACGTTAGTATCTGAAAGAAAAGCAAGGGAATGGGTGTCAAAGGCTGACTGGAAAGATCCACGAAACAATTTTCTTTTTTTTTTTCTTTTAAAGTTAAGATTTCACTTGCTGCCCAGGCTGGAGTGCAGTGGTGTGAGTGTGATTATGAATCACTGCAGTCTTGAACTCCTGGGTTCAAATGGTCCTCCCACCTCAGCCTCTTGAGTACCTGGGACTACAGGCACACACACCAGGCATGCACACCTGGCTAGCTTTTTAAAATTTTAAAATTTTTTTGTAGAGATGTGGTCCTACTATGTTGCCTAGGCTTGTCTCTAACTCTTGGCCTCAAGTGATTCTCCTGCATTGGTCTCCCAAGTTGCTGGGATTAAAGGCATGAGCCACCACACCCGGCCTGAAAAACTATCTTCTTAAACGAACAGCTGCAGACCAAGCAAAAGCTTGAGAACTCACAAACCATTTAGCCTAAGCAATTCCCCTGATAGTTCCTAAGACCACTGACTGGTCTAAAGTCTGGCAATGTAAGCAAAAACCAAACAAGATCAAGCTGGACTACTTTGAAAGATTCGAAAAGGTTATTAGACAATATTTGGGAATGAATGAAAAAGTCTAAGGAATCATCCAATGATTCTATTTTAAATTTACCTTCATTAAGGGATTGGATGAGCCATTGGCCATGGTGGTCAAAATACATCAAATAAATTGGGATTCCAGGCCGAAGCGGGCGGATCAGGAGGTCAAGAGATCAAGACCACCTGGCCAACATGGTGAAACCCCGTCTCTACTAAAAATACAAAAATTAGCTGGGCTTGGTGGTGTGCACCTGTAGTCCCAGCTACTTGGGAGGCTGAGGCAGGAGAATTGTTTGAACCCGGGAGGCGGAGGTTGCAGTGAGCTGAGATCCCACCACTGCACTCCAGCCTGGCGCCTGGTGACAGAGCAAGACTTTGTCTCAAAAAAAAATAAATAATAAATTGGGATTCTGTGCATACTTCAGAACTAGTGAAACTTGATGATAAATTGGCCAGTTATACAGAAGAAAAACAACGAAGCCACTAAAATCATGAATTTACAGATTCAACAACTTGCTGCTCAGTTCACCTGATCTAAACAGAGGCCTTGCTTTCAAAAGAAGACTCAGAAATATCTATGTTTGTTGTTATTGCAAGAAACCAGGACATCTAAAGAAAAATTGCAGAATACTGAAATGGTACAGAAACAAAAGAAAGAAAAGGCAAAGAGGGATAGGGACTCCAAGGGAATCAAGAGGGCTTTCCCCCTTCTTTTGCAATACTCTGTGGGAAGTGGAGCTAGGAGCTATGTATATATAAATGGAGAACAAACTAAAGTATTAGTTGACATGGGAGCTATCCTCCTGTTCTCAACCCTACGTTTTTAAAGAATGTTCTTCCTCAGAGTAATCAAACAGTTAAAATGGTAGGGATATCTCCTCAACCGGTGACTATATACAAATCAGAACCTTTGCCTTTCCAACAGGGAAATTTAGATGGACATCCTTCTTTTCTTTTGGAGCCTTCCACACTAATACATCTTATAGAAGGAGATTTTTTTGGAACTTTATAATGCTCATGTTTCCTTTTTCAAAAAGAAGAAAAATGTTTTAAAAAAATAACAAAGAGGATTGACTCAAAATGATAAATCAGAAAATTCAGAACAGATAATCATCCAAATTCAATCATGAAGTATTAAGACAAAAAAAAAAAAAAAGAACTTGAGCCTTTATTTATTTATTTATTTATTTAGAGACAAGAGTCTCACTCTGTCGCCCAGGCTGGAGTGCAGTGGCCTGATCTCAGCTCACTGCAACCTCTCCTCCTGAGTTTAAGCAATTCTCCTCCCTCAGCCTCCCAAGTACCTGGGATTACAGGCACAGAACATCAAGCCCAGCTAATTTTTTTGTATTTTTAGTAGAGATGGGATTTCACCATGTTGGCCAGGCTGGTTTCAAACTCCTGACCTCAAGGGATCCACACCCTCTTGGCCTCCCAAAGTGCTAGGATTATAGGTGTGAGCCACTGCACCTGGCCAACTTCATGCTTCATTAAGCCAAATCTCTAATTATTTACTGTCTGAATCATCCACCAATGTCATAAAAATTTTAACAGCACCCCTATATGGATATGAATGGATCCAAAGAAACCACTTCCCAATATTAAACAATAGTCATCAAAACAGGAAGCTATAATAGGAATAAAATAAATAATCAAATATTTTATTGATAAAGGATGGATAATCTCTTCCACCAGTTCTTGTAATACTCCCATCCTCCCAGTATGAAAACCTAATGGGAAAGGATGGAGATTTGTACAAGATTGGAGAACCGTTAACAAGACTGTGATTCCCCATCTTTCAGTAGTCCCAAATCCCCACACATTCCTTTATTTAATATGCCAGTAAGCAGTGAATTTCACTAACCGACTTATGCAGTATTTTTTGTTTTTTAGCATACCAGTAAATCCTAACAGTCAATATGTGTTTGCCTTTACCTGAGACAGCTGTCAATATACCTGGACTGTTATGCCTCAAGGTTGTGCTGAAAGCCCAACTTATTTTTCAAAATATTAAGGGCTGAGATGGCTTAGCTAAATTTTGAGGAAAATTCCACTCTACTTCAGTATGTGGATGATCTCCTATTACGCTTTTCCATTCTACATGATTATAAAAATGACACCCTGTAGTTGCTGGAACAATTAGATAAATCAAGGCATAAGTTATCTAAAGAAAAGCTCCAGTTTTGCTTAACAGAAATAAAACATTTTGGACATTTAATTTCTAAGGGGGAAATAAATATAAATCCAGATCAAGTAACTGGAATTCCTGCATACCTAACTCCAAAGACTGAAAGACAGCTTAGGAGTGTTTTAGGCTTAGCTGGCTACTGTTAGAGTTGGATACCCAATTTTTCTCTCATGGAACAGCCTTCATATGCATTGTTGAAAGATCAACCTGACCCCATACATTGGATATCATAAAAACAAATAACTATTCAATAAATAAAGGAAAATCTTACAAAGTCCCCTGCTTTGAGCCATCCAAATTATCAGCTACCATTTTTCCTTTTTGTTTAGGGAAGCCATGGCATCATCCTGGGTTTCCAACCCCAAAACACAGAGCAAAATGTAGACTTCTTGGCTATTACAGTCAGCAATAGACTCTATAGCTCAGGGGCTTCCCTTGTTGGAGGGCCATTTCAGGCATTATCATGTTTCTCAAGGCTACTCAAGAGACTGTAATGGAGGCTCCCTTGACTATATATGTACTTCATTCTGCAGAAGCTTTTTTGAATTCACATCATACACAACATTTTTCTGTCAACTGATTGGCTTTATTACAATGTATTTTCACCCTCTGCTCCACACATTACCCTCTCTTGCTGTAATACTCTTAATCTCACAAGTTACTTCTTGAAGCAACTGAGGAGATACCTCATGACTTTATAGAACAGCATACACTCTGTATACTGTATTGTTCTGTTGCTAAAAGAACAGCTTTTGATGCACAGTCAGAATTTACAGGAGACACCACTGCAAAATGCTGATGTTACTTGGTTCACAGATGGATCATATCTAAAGGATAAATTTGAAAAACACCAAATAGGCTATGTCATTGTGTCTCATGTAGACATCGTAGAGAGAAATTTCTTGCCTAAAGTAAAATCAGCACAGTTGGATGGATTAATAGTACTTACCACAGCTTGTCTAACTGGCCAAAAATCAAGTAACTAATATTTATACTCACAGCCATTACACTTTTGGTGCAGCTCATGTCTTTGGAATGTTACAGAAACAGCGAGGCATTTAACCTCCTCTGGACATCCTATTAAACATGGCTCTCAAGTTTCTGATCTTCTGGAAGCCATCCAATTACAAAAAAAAAAAAAAAAAAAAATGGCTATTGTTAAGAGTCCTGGACATTCCAAACACGACTCCCTGGAGTAAAGGAAATCATTTTGCTGATGCTGAGCAAAAAAAGACTGCTTAATGCTAATATCAAATGAAACTGTAGAGATGGCCATGTTTAAAGTGAAGGAGCTCAAGAAAAGGATCCAAAGAAGTCATATGCGAATATGACTAAGGGAGAATGCTTTTCCCCCGACTTGGAAAACATAATATAGACCCAGTGACAGAAAAGCAAATCCCTATTTTGCCTTTGGGATATCAATTTCCTGCATTACAACATGTCCATGAGTTCATTCACTGGGGACCTGAGACAATTGCATGGGGTAAACACTATTACTGGAAACCCTCACCTACGGTAGTTCATAAGGTTTATGCTAAATGTCCAATTTGTCCTATATATAATCCAGGAAAGCCTCTTCTGAATCTGAAGAGCATTTCCCTTTGCCCACCGGACCTTTCAATATTTGACGAATGGATTTTATCTACTCACCTCCAGCTCAGGGTTACAAATATGTATTGGTTATAATTTACATGTTCTCTCATTGGGTTGAAGAATTTCCTTGAGAAAAAGCCACAGTTAAGCAGTAGGAAAATGCTTGATAGAATGGATAATTTCCTTTTGAGGAATTCTTTCCAAATTACATAGTGATGGAGAGCTCATTTCGGTGAATATATAATTCACTCAATGTATAATGTGGCCTATTTTCTAGTATTTTTATTGTATTTACCATCCCCAGTCTTCTGATTGGTGGAATGAACATATCAAAAATGAAACCCAGCTGGAAAATTATTGAAAGCTTTTCTTATTACTTGCCCCAAGCCTCTTCCGTTGGCTTTGCTTAACCTAAGAGCAGCTCCTTCTGAAATAGTACATCAGTTATCCCATGAGATAATTACAGGTTGACCTATGAAAGTGAATGGAAGTTTATATGAACCAACTTTATTGAAAGGAGATATACTCCATTATTGACAAGGCTTAACTAAACTTCTTTCTAAAAAACTAAATTGTAAAAAGAACCTTAAATGCAATAGAGGCAGGGCTTGGGACATTAAGACAAGTTGAGAATGTATTTAATGAAAAATGACATTTACAAGAAAAATTGGTACTTAACAAACTAAGTAGAATAAAAAGAAAACTTCTTTCAGAGGGAAAGTGAGGGTTGAGAAGCTGCATGGAAAGATAATGATGCTATTGCTAAATGGATAAATCAAACTGCCCAGCTAATGAGGGACTGTGTGAAAGCCCAACAATTAGAAAAGCATGGGTTCATACTCAACAGGGTTATTGACCATGCAATCCAGATGGAAGCAGAAATGACCTCTAAAACATGGCCAATAATTTTGGATGCAGAAGCACAAGGTATACATTTATGGAAAACATATGGGCCCTCTTCTTCCTGGAAAATTACTAACAGGGTACATAGCCTGTACTCTTACAGCTTCAGCAACCCACATATATAGTAACCAGAAATATAATGCAGTACAGCTAGTAGAAATAGGGATCATTTTAAATAATACCCTTGTTTTCCCAATGGGCAGTTGATGGGACCATACTAAATAATAACGTTTGGAATCCAATTTCAGTTTTAGGTTGTAAGTAAATTCAGGAAGAATGGTATTGTCCCCAAAACATCTGGAAACCTGAAATCATGGAAACATGGTTCCTAATTTCTACCCCTATTCAAAATAATATATAGGAAAGGGACATTTTTGTTTGGAAGTGAAGACAAATAAGACTGTAAGTGCTTTAGATCTTACTTGAAAGCAGACAGTATTTGATTTAAATTATACTGCCATTTAGTGCACTACTGGATTCATAGGAAAGCTAGCTGTAGATATAATAATGAGGACACTAATAATCAAATATTTTGGGAATTGGAACTCAACCCTATTCAAGTTGTACTCCCAGCAGAAAATGAATGGTGAGTTAAGTAATTAGATATTATAATCATGAGTTAATTACAGTTCTGGATAAATACACTCAGATATACCAAAAATTGCTTTTAAAAGCAAAGGGAGAAGGATGATTATTTGATTAAGCACAAACTATCAAAATGTATGTTCAGAGTTCTTTTCTATATGTTATTTCTTTTCTTCATTGTCTTTAGCTAAATGAACCTCTCAGTTCACTGTATTATTTTTCTAATATTTCTGTTACAAATGTTATAAATGCTACAGAAACTGCAAATGTCATAGAAAGAGGAGAATTCCAGCTAAAATCATGTTACTTCATCAATTTGAACTAACAGCCATAGAATGTAAGTAAAGGCAGTCTTCTATGGCCCATTTTGTCCAACACACTTTCTCCTCTACTCTGACCAAGTGGGGAAGGGCTTCCCATTAACTTTTGTTTAGCTCTAAAGTCCCAAGGTTTAGAAAAGATACCAAGCTGGATATTCCTCCACCTGACTCCTCAAGTCCCCTACCAGAATGACTGATCATGCAATTCATCGTTGCCTCTAAAGAATCTCTCCTAAGGAAGTAATCCTTATTACAATCCTGATCTCATTTCTCCCTATGCTAATGAGAATACATTAGCATAAAACAAGGGACTTTGGCATTCCAGAAGGAAAAATAGGAGCCTTTGCATCTTCACTGGAAAACCAGATGATAGCACTTTATGTAGGGATGAACAATCCATGAGGACGTTACAGAATTCTGATTTGATCCTATATGTTCTCTCATTCTAAACAAACAAGACCTAGGCTCTTCACATTTCTCTCTTTTTTTTTTTTTTAAAGATGGAGTCTCACTCTGTTGCCCAGGCTGGAGTACAATGATGTGATCTCTGCTCACTGTAACCTCCGCCTCCTGAGCTCAAGTGATTTTCCTGCCTCAGCCTCCTGAGTAGCTAGGATTATAGGCACGTGCCACTACACCTGGCTAATTTTTATATTTTGGGTAGAGACGGGGTTTCATCATGTTGGTCAGGCTGATCTTGTACTTCTGACCTCGTGATCCTTCTGCCTTGGTCTCCCAAAGTACTGTGATTAGAGGCATGAGCCATGCGCCTGGTCAAATTTCTTATTATTTGGTCTTCAAAGCCCTCCTTTGGAGGATTCTGACCAAAAGTGAGGAATTGTCAGCAAAAGTAAAATTTGAAAGGAAAAAAATCTGTAAGAGGCCCAATGTAGGTTTGACATACAGGTAACAGAAACTAGGCCTATGAGCTAAAGCTGAGCTCTCTCCTGTGAGGCTGCAGTTTGTTGAATATTTCACCGACATGTACTGATTGCAACCTTGCCTATCAGATGAAACATGAAGGCAGTATAGGATCAATCATCCCTCTCCAAATCCTAAGACACCCATGTACTCCTTAAACTTTTACTCTATATCCATCAGTTACATGTTTGCTTTGTCTTATGTATAATGTCACTAAGCACCAATCAGAATAGTCAGAATATCTTCTTTCAGAGATACAATTTGTAATATATGTATATATACATGAAACTTAATATACAATATGTAAATATATGTAAGATACATTTGCAAACGATGGCTTTACTGCCCCATCTCTCATTTTCTATGACACAAAATGTGTAAGTACTGTGCCTCATGTAACACACTTTAGGATGCATTCTCAGTTTGTACTGTCTGTATTTGTGGGCTATCGTCCTTGAACTTGGCTTAGAATAAAATTAACTTTGCTTTTTAAAGTCTATGGTGGCTGCTATTTTAACCTTTTGAGTCAGCACCTGTGGTATATATAGATATATAGTATCTATGGTGAAAAACATACTATATATAGGTCTCAATACTGTCCTCAGTTTCAGGAATCCACCGGGGAGCTTGGAATGCTTTCCCCCATAGGTAAGAGAGGACTACTCTATATTTAGACAATAGAATGCTGTTCGTAAGTAAAAGAGAACAAATTATTGATACCATAACAACATGAATGAATCTCAGAAATGTGTTGAAAGAAGCTGGACACTAAAATGACCATAATGTATAGTTCTAATTTATATGAAATCTAAAGTAGGCAAAAATAATCTATAGTGACAAAAAGCAGTTTAATGGTTATCTGGGGCAGGGATGAGGGCCAAGAAATCTTTTGGAGGTGACGTAAATGTTCTGTATCCTGATTGAAATGGTGTTTATAATGGTATATTTGTCAAACTCATCAAAGTAAATAGGTACATTTTTGTATATAAATTATATCTCCATAAAGATAGAAATATTATGGAGAATAATATGTTTGTATTTTAAAATGATCTTTACAGTGTTTTCTTATTACATTTCTTATTACAAATTTTCTTAATATTGTCACCAAAAAAATAAGAGAAACTTCAAATAAATTTATTTTAGAAAATGAAATTTCACCATAATCTCACACTGCTCTCCACTCCCACCTCACCCCAAGATACAAACTCAATGATTAGTTTTGTGTTTGTTCTTCCAGATTATCTAATAAATATACTAATACATATCTATGCATACAATTTTTGTGGATGTGAAATGTTACTATATACATACTCTTGCAACTTGATTGTAACATTTTTAAGGTTTTTGGCTCCTACAAAAGGCCATTGCTTTCCCCCATAGGAAGGGCCTAGCAAAAAAAACCCTTCATTTCGTAGGTCTCTACATGTTAAATTCAGTGTTTTTCTTTGCTGATAAGCATTTCCTCTTGCACCAAAAGACAATATTTTAATAGGTTGGTGTTGTGGCTTGTACCTGTAATCCCAACATTTTGGGAGGCCAAGGAGGGAGGATTGCTTGAGGCCATGAGTTAGAGACCAGCCTGGCCAAAAATTATACACATTTTTAAAAATTAGATGGGTGCTAATTTTTAGTAGTCCCAGCTACTTGAGAGGCTGAGACAGGAATATTGCTTGAGCCCAGGAGTTAGAGGTTATAGTGAGCTAGGATCATGCCACTGCACTCTAGCCTGAGTGACAGTGAGATCCTTTCTCAAAAAAGAGAGGAGATAAAGGAGGAAAAATAAAGGAAGGGAGGGAGGGAGGGAATATTTTAACAACATTTGCTGGTATTATTTTTTACTAAAATCACACATTCTCTAACTTTTAGCTTAAGTTCTTGTAGCCTAAATTCTTTCTACTACTGGAACGGAAAGCAGGTCTCAGTGGAACTCTGGGTGGTAATTGGGACTGAACAGTGACTTGGTGTGGATTAAGGCTGACCAAAGAGTGGCCAAAAAATGAGGTTATAGGAAGATTTGAGTAGTGAGTGGCAATGGTCTATCTTTGCCAGCCGGAAGAGGCTCTGGTTCCCACAGTCATATCAGATTAACAGCAGATTTCTCAGCAGAAACCTTACAAACCAGAAAGGATTGGCGTGCTATCTTTAGCCTCCTTAAACAAAATAATTGTCAGCCAAGAATTTTGTATCTAGCAAAACTAAGCTTCATAAATGAAGGAGAGATAAAGTCTTTTTCAGACCCAAGTGCTGAGAGAATTTGCCACTATCAAACCAGTCCTATAAGAAATGCTAAAAGGAATTCTAAGTCTTGGAACAAAATCTCAAAATATACCAAAATAGAATCTCCTTAAAGCATAAATCTCACAGGGCCTACAAAACAGTAACACAATGAAAAATAACAGGGTATTTAGGTACTAACTAACATGATGAATAGAATAGTACCTCACATCTCAATACAGATGTTGAATATAAAAGTTCTAAAAGTTCCACTTAAAAGATACAGAATGGCAGAATGGATAAAAATCCACCAGCCAGGTATATACTGACTTCAAGAGACTCACCTAACACATAGGGACTCACATAAACCTTAGGTAAAGAGGTGGAAAAAGACATTCCATGCAAATGGAAACCAAGAGCAAGTGGGAGTAGCTACTCTTACATCAGACAAAACAGACTTTAAAGCAACAACAGTAAAAAAAGACAAAGAAGGACATTATATAATGATTAAAAAATTAGTCCAACAGGAAGACATTACAATCCTAAATACATATGCACCTAACACTGGAGCTCCTAAATTTATAAAACAACTACTATTAGACCTAAGAAAATGAGATAGACGGCAACACAATAATAGTGGGGGACTTCAGTACTCCACTGACAACACTAGACAGATCATCAAGACAGAAAGCCAACAAAGGAATGATGGACTTAAACTATATCCTACAACAAATGGACTTAACAGATATTTACAGAATATTCTACCCAACAACGGCAGAATATACATTCTTCTCATCAGCACTTGGAACATTCTCCAAGATAGACCATATGATAGGCCACAAAACAAGTCTCAATAAATTTAAGAAAATTGAAATCATATCAAGTATCTTCTCAGACCACAGTGGAATAAAACTGGAAATAAACTTGAAAAGGAACTCTCAAAACAATACAAATACATGGAAATTAAATAATCTGCCCTTGAATGATCTTTGGGTTCACAATGAAATCAAGATGGAAATTAAAAAATTCTTTGAGCTGAATGATACTAGGACACAACTTATCAAAACCTTTGGGATACAGCAAAAGCAGTGCTAAGAGGAAAGTTCATAGCATTAATTGCCTACATCAAAAAGTCTGAAAGAGCACAGACAAACAACCTAATGTCACACCTTAAGGACTAGAGAAACAGGAACAAACCAAACCCAAACCCAGCGGAATAAAAGAAATAACAAAGATCAGAGCAGAACTAAATGATTATTCCTCTTAAGTTTTCACCTACCATCTGTCTCAGATGCCCCCTTTCCTCCATTCCTTCAAGCTTAACACCAAGCCCACTATATCCAGTCACTGAGGACACAGGGCCTCTGTCACCTGAGAAATGAAACTGTGCTTCCTCCCCAGACAAGACATGGATGGCTTAAATGTTAAACTATGAGTATTTCTTTAAGAAATAAACTGCAGGAAAAAATGTCTTGAAGGGATACATGGAAGATGTGTGAAGTATAGATCTCTAAACTTAGAAACAATCAGTGATTCTTAGGTGCAAAAGAATCATCCGGAAAGTGACTGAAAAATGCAGCTCTCAGGCCCCATTCTAGGGCAGTTGGCCGCAGGGGAGAGTGAGAGTCACAGTTGAAGGAACACTGGTTCAGATGATCAACTAAAATGCTCAGTCTTCACACGTAAAAAGGATTTGGAGCAATGCTACACTCAGTTATGGAAAGGTTACCACTCTTTCCTCAGCCTGATGCTGGGTTCGATTTAAGCTTCAGATTGTCCATTTCCACCTGTTATTTGTTTCAGTGAGTTCTTTCTCAGCCTTGGAAACCTGGAAGGAAAACACCTTTTCCTTTTACCTTAAAATTTTTGGTTTCTGTGCTTTTGGATGTTCTGAATTGATCTTGGGCCTTTCTTTGCCCTTGAGGAGTGTCTCTGGCTACAAATTCAACATTTGATCCTTGTTCCCCTTATCTATTTCTGTGTAAAAAGTTACTCCAAGGCTTAGTGACTTAAAACAATGACATTCATTTATTTTGATGATGAATCTGTAATGTAGGCAAGACTGAGCAGGAATGGCTTTGTCTCTGCTCTCCATGGTCTCAGCTGGGGCTACTTAAATGGCAGCAGGAGGACCCACTTTGAAGATAGTTGACTCACATAGCTGGCCAGTTAGAGCTAGCTGTTGGCTAAGAGCCCAGCTGAGTGTGTGAGCTGGGCGCTTTCGTTCCTCTCGACATGGGCCCCTCCACTTCACAGGGGCCTTGGGCTCCCTCATAGTATGGAGGCTGGGCCACAGGTGTGAGCATCCCCAGGGAGCAAGGCAGACATGCATGGCATTTTTGTGACTTACTAGCTTTGGAAGTCACGTTGTATAATTTCCACCATACTATTGCTTCAGGAATTCATAAA